ACAAACTTTTTCTAATTGGATTGAAATCTGATGCGCTGATATCGTTCGATGGTGAGACTCCGAAGTAGCAGACTGAGATCCATAGACGATTAACTATCATAAAATATAATAATAAAAAAAGCACGCTTCATTAATATGACAAAAAAATTGTTCATAACAAGTTACCTTATTGAACTAAAAAATAGCTAATCTTGGATAAAAAATAATTCAATTTTAAAAAGGAGTAAAAACAATCATTGCATTTCACAATCAAAAAGCGATAATAAGACTTTGACTCGAGAAAGGCATGTATGTAAGTTTCCGAAGGAAGATTTTCTTTGTTCAATCGTACATATATATATTATAATATTCTGCTGCAAACCATGATAGAAACTTGAATTCAAAAAACTATAGATTTCACAGTTTTTACATATGATACCTTATTTGAGTTTCTGAAAGCACTTTCCACTTTCCTTCGATATAGGTATAGGAGGTAATGAAGGTATAAGAGATAATGGACATATAGAGTGGTGATATATATAACTTCATTATATTCTGTACCTACATTACTTCTTATATCTCCTATACTTCCATCAAGTGAAAGTGGAAACAGCTTTCGGAGATTCAAATGAATTTTCTGGAAATTCAAATAAGGCATCTAATTAGTTTTTAAATAGGTTCGCCTATACCGGAATCTAAATCATGTAGGAGCAGCCAAGAGTCTAATCCAATACAGTATATAACATTTAATAGTCCACACTATCTATTTGCATTATCGATGTTACTTTTCATCATTTTTCGAGTTATGATGTCACTTACAAAAGTTTGCAAAAAAAATTCACACACCTTTTATTATGCTAATGGAAATAGTATGTATAACTTCATATTAGGCAATAAGAAATATTATTATTTCAAATACCCAAAATCATAGAAGATTCTTCGCTCTTCACATTGATATGTAGAGTGATACTGTGCAAGTTAATTTTTTAAATTTATTAACTAAATTTATTAACACTTTGCTGAAACATATAATGTGAAGTTACGCATGGTTGATATAGACATAACACTTTTTAAACTGAAGGCATCGTAGATAATATAGAACGCGCGTCTATTGTGTGCGACTACAGTAAGATTAAAGTAGTAGACAAGCTTTTGATTCGTTTGAAGTCATTATTAGGTACAACTATCGTAGCAGAAATAAATGAGTAGGTATATAAGCACAATAAAGACAGTTGTGAACTTTCTAGAGCTGTAGTGAATGTTTGGAAAATTTTGCAGAAACCTCATCTGTTGTCTTCAAGACCAGACTATGCTTTTCGAGCATAGTCGAAGATTCCATAAAATTCTAGAATGTTTGTGAAAATCTTCGTTGCATTTATATATGTGTATATAGTTATATTCATGTATTGATGCAATAATACTTATATTTGTCTATAAATGTTATGGTAAGGAAACGTAGCTCGTATTTAAATATACTTTTACTTCACTGTCACGTCATTTCAACTCAACTGATAGATGAAATTATGACAAACTATTAAATGTACATAATTTTCATTGGAGCTTGTATCGGGTGCAATACAAGCTTCTTTAGAGGAGGCATTAAACACTTTTAAAAAAATTGAAAAAACCTGTTACACGAAGAAGGGAAATATCTCGTCGTATTTTCGATGATTATCATATAGTTTTACGACTTCATGATAATTTATGTTTGAATTACATTTTGTCCGATGTTTCCTCATGGATTATTAACGTACAAGAGACGTGGGTTGAAATAAACAGAGCTATATCCAGTTTATTACCTGCAACATTGAACTTCAAAAAAACGACATCGTTACCTGTTCAGTTCGAAGATGTGAAAAAAAGTATTCATGTCAACTTTCTTACTGATTTTTCGAGCGTTAGATATAAGAAATAGTATGAACAACTTAATCGTCAAGACAAAATGTGTTCATATTTTTTACAATAACGTTTCATGAAATCACGTAAGCGTTTGTAAGTACTTTGTGTGGCATAATACACTCAAAACATCGCAAATATTTCATGAAACTATAAAGAAAATATCAGAAGTGTTTGTATCAATATACATCGGATCACAAACATTTCAATGAAATAATATTATTCAAAATCATTCTCGAGAATAGGTGTACACATTATTAACAAACTTTGTTGCTGCGGTAGATTCTACGCATATTTATCAACGGGAATCGTGAAACGTGGTTTGATATGTATGGCTTCTACTACTCAAATGAAACACGAACGATGAACTAATATAGTATACTCAAGGCGATGATAATGTACAAGACTCAGGAAACAAGGATTTACTCGTTCAAAAGGCAATAGCTTCATGTAACATTCGTCTAAAATGAAGTGTTCATTGATGACTGAGGTTTTGCACAGTGGAAGAGGAAATGAAATTTATATACCCCTGCGTCAGTGTGTAAAGACAAACCTTAGTTGGCAACAACAATAGATAATTCAACAAAGATGTATAACTCGAGTTTGCAATGCTTTAGAAAAAGATTTTGTAAGATTGAAGAAGTGAAAGTTTGCTGCTCCTATTGTTAATACTGATTCTGTACTGATCATAGATGCAATAATGAACATATTATGTGCTGTTGACCTTGCTTAGTTTTTCGATTTGGTAAAAGAATCTTATAATATCCATAAGTAGAGTATCGAGACTCAAAACATACCCACTTGGATATTCATTTAATCAATGTATGGCACTCATATGCTGTCAAATTAAGGATTTTGAATGAATAAAGTATAATGAGATGGATACCTAGCTCGACATTCATATATCTATAGACTTGACGATTTTGCGTGAATTTGGTGTAGGGAGATAAATATCCTATTGAATACCTGTATGTGATTACTCAGTTGGATATCTGTTTTGATGTATGTCCTGACTCGTAGCTGGTGTTCATCCAGCATATGCATATGATGACATCTTTGCATACATAGGATATATAAAAAACACTGAATAACGTATATGCATTATGGCCTTCTATCAAAAATTAAAATAATAAATATTATTTCAAGGCATGGGCGGCGCAAGCTCAATTTTTTAGGGGAAGCAATAAGCTCTAGAATGAGACTATATCCTTCTCCGAGCCATAATTCAAAGCTCGGCAGTAAAAGTATTTTTAGAAATTAATTTCTCAAAGACATAGTATTAGAAGTCTGCGTATTCATTTATTTGAGAGCATATTAAGGCCTTTCCCCTCAGAAAAAGTCAATTTTTATCAAAAAAAATGAAAACTAGGATAAATGCATGGAGGAATAGCTCGCGTTCTGCTCTTTCGGAAACAAAATGGTTTTTAAATCGACATCCGGTTTTGGGGCAAAACTTTTGATAAATTTTATCATCCACTTCTTAAAAAACAGGAACAGACTTTTTCCAGAAAAAATGGAAAATATTTTTCGTTTTTTCTCAGACTATACTTTTGCACACGCGCAACCCAAATTTCCCTGTCCAGACTCATTCAATATTTTTAATTTTCTTTTTGTTTGAAAGAGAACGTCAAAATTTAGGGCACCACAGAGTCCTTTTTCAATTAAGCTTTGTTTTTTATTATATATGCAAACAATTATGTAAATTGGTGCCCATTTTTAGAGGGTTTTCTGAATTATAGAACTTGTCATCCCTTTTCTTCGCTTAAAAAGTAAGAATTTAAAAAAATAGGACTGTAGTGCCCTATATCCTGACATACTCTTTCAAACAAAAAGAATTTTAATGTGTTGAAGGAGCACGGACAGAGAAAAATGGATTACAAAATGAGCTTTTTTTTGTCGCTGTTTGGTATATATCTCTATCAAACATCATGATACAGGGCTGACAATTTTACCATAGTGTCTCCACGCCAGTCTCAACATGGTCTGAAAATTTCAGACGATTTGAGTGTACTTGGCCCTAGAATCGATTTTTCAGGAAAAAGGCCAGAGTTTGAGCGTAGTGTAACGTTTTTATTGAGAACAGATGTATTCAGAACGAGTTAGCAAAACTCAACTTTTTTTTGTTATTTCCTTCCGCTCACCAGTCATTTGGTTTTCGAGTTGATACTCATGTGAAAGATTGTCTGCCATTTTAACAGCTATTTCTTCTTGATGAAACTATACACGTAAGAATCAATTGAAAATATTGCGGTCTTCTCATGGAAACTGTTTACTTAACTATTTATGTTAGCAGCTAGTTGATCTCTTTATGAGTACGTTCTTATACGGTGATTATGGACGAAAGCAGAAACAAGTACAAATTAAAGTTACTTGATAATCAAAAGTTCAGAAAACATGGAGAAATAACATACGGATGAAACATAAACAATTAGAGAAAGCAATAAATTTTTATTGGTTCCCCAAATTCTTTTTAGGGGAAGCAATTGCTAACTCGTTGCTTGCTGGTGCGCCACCCATGTTTCAAGGTACAAGACAAATTGATAGTTCAAAACCATACACTGTTTGAATAGGTCTTGTATAAAATAAACCCCATTATATTGTTTTAAAATGTACTTACAAAAGTGATCCGATTATGCAAGTGGTATCTACTCTTAGGTAGCCGCAGCTTTAATTGACGTAAGCTACGGGAGAAATAATAAAAAGATATGATGTTTTTATGAAACCGCTGCGGCATTAATTCTGAACGTTTTGGATTTCACTACATACAAACACAGTAAAAATAACATTAATGGAGGATGATAGAACAATTTATGACTAGGAGCGGCACACTTACTACTGTTACTTCAATCTCTCCTGACTATATTAAAGGTAAATGTGTCGATGACTGAAAAAATTCCTATTTAGCACAGACAATTGCTCAGTTTATCAATTGTCTGGTAAAGTATATCGTTCTTTCAGTTTTCAACATATAATTTTTCATGAACATTTATTCCGAATGTTGCCAAATATGTTGATTTTCTATGAACAAACAAGGATGATTTTTATGGAAAGCGATATTCTATTACAAGAGAAGTTTTATGTGATGAAAAAAGAACAAAATAAGAAAAGACGTTGTTTATGTTTTGCTAATATTTTCCGCTTTTTTCTATTTGAAGCCGAAGTCTTCGATGAAGTTCTAACGCACGTTGTTTAAATCGATCATATTTAGATGTCGATTGTTTTTCTTTTGTATCGTCATGTCTTACAATAAAGCCTGACAATAAGATTATTATTAATTAATGAATGAAAAATAAATAGATGAAGACAAACCTAGTAAATGCAATGGAACTGGTTCATTGATTACAGTTATAACTTCATAGGTTTCTTGATCTTCTTGACAAGGCACCTTAAAATTGATAAGATCTGATCGATTTGTTTCTTTTCCATCTTTAACATAAGCAACAGAAAGATACTATTAGAATAATAAGAAAAACTAGTACCCTACTTTTAAGTTTTGCTATAATTTGAACAGTATGGCTTTTATCAGGTTTCATACGATGTATACAAATTTGTATTTCCTTATTTACTGGTAATTGATCTATCTATAGGATATATAATAGAATAATATCCGTTTTTTGCAGAAACACTTTTTCTTACGGAAATGAGAATGAAAACAATATGAAATATTGACATTTTCGAAACTTTTCATCTTATTTTTATATGTTTAGTAAGATATGTTTATGCAATAGCTATTTATTTTTATGTATTTAACTATATGTACTTCTAATCATTATTTTATTTTAATTTCAAATCATGTCACATTGCTCAAATCGCCTTTGAACCAAAAGCTAGTGTCTGACAGGCGATATTTTATCTCACAATTAAAATAATGAAACTAAAGCAAGAAATCCGAAGTTCTTTCAGTTAAGAATGCAAGCCAATTGATTGAACGGTAATTTCCATTTTCACGAAATAAATGATAAATAAAACTAAGTATGAATCAAAATATTATCAATTTTATGTATGTAGGGTTTTATTACAATTAATTAATTCATTGTAAAATCAATTGTTCATTATCTCAGCTGGTTACCAATTCAATTAAATATCTTTCCTGGTCAAGGCTATGAGTGTAGATTCGAAGAAAAACCAGACCCACACTCTATGTTGCTTATACACTGAGATGATGATCAATCGGTTCGGTAATGAACTAATTAATTATAATGAAATGTTATATGTAGAGCCCATTATAGTTCGGTCTGGACTTGTTTTCGGTTATCAATTCATTCAGCAATATCGAAATCAGCGCAAATAGAGTAATTCGACTGAGCTACTACTATCGAAGTAATAATGATATGCAGTAGAGTTTTAAAAATTTTTGAGATCTCTAAAATAATTTTTCTAGAATATTTTTAGTCTGCTATTTTATCAAGTTGTTCTTTACTGTTGAGTTTTTTTCTCAAATAAGTTCATACAATAGAAAATTTTAAAGATATCTTCAAAAACTTTCAACTAGTCCTGCTATTGAATAGGAAAACAGTAACACTAATCTCAACCACCGTCTCCAATCTAAACATCGGTTGATCCTTCCGCTGATAGGAACTTATTGAGAAAAGCTGTCCTTGCAATATATTGTAGAATACAAAAAAAAATTTAATAAATAAATTTACATAGTGAACTTCTTTTTCGTCTAAACAGACTACATATTTTTGAGCATAATGATCGCCAATATGATACCATTTAATAAGTACATTAAATGTTGAATATTCGTCTATGTAATCAAAACGTATAACTGGACTTAAAGTCAAAATTTGACGAGTAAAGGAAAAACGCTGAAAATAAATAAATATCAGATTTATTTTTTAAATTAAATAAGACATACACAAGACTCAGATTCTTTTCTGATTGTGTTCCAATTTTCATTGAGAGGTATTGCTTCAATTTTAATATCTATGTGATTCTGTTGTTTTATCACATCGAAACCTGCTGCTGATATATACTGATAAGAACTATCGAATTCACCTCGCTTATGAGTATTAACGAATAACTATTGTCAAAGAAAATAAACATAGTAATTATATATTTTTCATGATCTTATTCGTTATTCTTGTTTTTATATACAAAATATTTACGGAAAATTTTGAAATAAGTCGTCGAGCTGATTCAGGTTCGATGTTGATAGTTGCATAAATTTTATTATCTGGAAACTCCGCGGCCTCACCACGAAAATCAATGCGCAAACTCTTCCATAGGTCTTCGTTTTCCTATATTCAAATGGAAAATATTTATCAAAACTATTGTGAACATCTTACATCTATTGGTTCATAAAATGCACTATAACATAAAAAGAAGTTTTACGATCAGTCCGTTAATAATAGAAACAACTCATACCGTATTTGTTCTGTGAGTTCTTTATTACTCATTATCGACTTATTTTAGTTCAGATGAACTATAAACTTGAAAAGTAATTGCAGTAGGTATTTTAACGTAAGCTCAACGTGAAGTTTTTTTTTTTTTATTTTTCTTCGATTTTTAGTCGAGTAAAATAATCTGTTTTTTCTTTTTTATAGGCAGTCTATCCAAATTGAAAATGCAAAAAAATAAATAGAACGTTTTTCTTTTCTTTTTCACCGACGTTTATTTTTCTTTCCTCTTGTCTGCTTAGTAACATGATTGTGTACAATGTTTCTTGCAAATAAATCTCAAAGAAAGAAATTCAAACAAAGTGAAGCAACAACGTGTAGAAGATCATATTTTAACTTTATCAAATAAGAATTCATTGAAAAAGTTTTTCGTTATAAACAATGAGTAGATCTCGTTCACCTAAATATCGTCAAGTATAAATGAATTATGATTTAGTTAAACTCTAAAATAAATTTTCTTTATTTAATTTAGTCTAGACGAGAACATTCTCCGGATGATATGATTGATCAATTGAATATTCGTTCTCGAACTTGTTATTCATTTGCTCCATCACAACGGAAGGAGTATATATTGTAATGAACATTTCAATAATGCATTCGTTTCGTTTTAGTAATGGACACGAAGATAATTGTGAATGTAGACGCCCTCAGGACGAACATTCAGATAAAAACCAAATAGGAAATTCACGATGGACCATGGAATTAAATACTCGAGAAGAAATTAATGCTGAACACGGTCAACTTCCGAATGGTGCACAGGTATAATAAGATATTTATTTATTCTCTATCAGCTTTTCATTTTTATTGATTTAGTTTGTTCGATTAGCTTTGGATACACCGAAAGAAAAAGCTGAAAAAATTCTTCTCCATGCTTGGAAACTTCCAGAACCTTCATTTATTGTGTCAGTTGTTGGTGGTGCAAAACATTTTAAAATGAGTGATCAACTTGAAACAAATTTTATAAATGGTCTTATTGATCTAGTTAACAAATCAGGTACGTAATGAAACAATTCTTTCATTATCACAGATGATTATTATGATGCTTTTTAGATGCATGGCTAGTTACAAATGGATATGCTACTGGTATAGTACGACTGGTTGGAGAAGCAATTCATCAATTTGAATTATCAAGATTCAATGAAAATCCCATCACTGCTATTGGTATTTGTAAATGGGGTTGTATAATGGATGTAGACAAAATAACGCTTCCAATGGATGAAGAAACACAGCAGGTTTTATTTAAACACAAAAAATATTAAGTAATATAGTTAAGATTAATTTTACAGTTAACTACTCATACATTGGATGTTACTCCCAATAATAGATTAAAACAACGTCGTTCTGGTGAATGGGATCTTGAAATGCATCATAGTCATTATCTTATGTTAGATGATGGTACTACTCGCAACTATGATACACAAAATTATCGAACACATCTAGTCACTCATATGGCAAAAATAAACAATGAACATGATTTTTTCGGTATGTATATCTTTTTCTAAGAAGTTTTACATAGACGATTCGTCTAAAGGTTATGATCACATTTTACATAGCTACGATGCTATTATTAATCGAGTTTAATCTAATAGCTTTTTATTTGAAAAATGACACTTAAAAGTTTTCATTCTTGAAGACAAAGTTTATAACTATGCCGTGAATATTATTATTCTTGGATTGCCATATCAAAAATATTTGGCAGTTTTCTAACGTCATAAGATAACATGTAACGTTCGGTTTTGTCTATATTTATTTCAATTCATATTATTACTATGAACTTTAGGAGTATCCCCCTTCCCATCCTATCTTCTTTCCGAACGTCTAAAGGAAAATTTTATCGGTTTTTTTGTTTTTCAATTGATCTATATATCTTACAATATTCGCTATAGATATGCAAAAAAACTGACTTCTTTTGATAGTATTTTGACTTTAAAAAAAAATAATTTTCGAGACATTTCTATCTAAAAAAACAAGTCCGATTTTTTAAAGATATTTTGTCTTTGCATTCGATCTATTTGTAGTTACCTAATTTTTAGTGTATGACCGTGTCACAATCGCATATCAAGATAAGTGAAACATTTTTCGACTTCAGTTGGAGATAGCTGATCGAGTTTATTTGAAACATGATCCATGTAAAGAAATCAAACATTTTTGACTTCAGCCGTACTTTTAGTAGTGTGTGTTATTTTTTTTATTTTCAAGGCTATTCGTGATCGTTGGTTGAGAAGTCAATCTCATTAGTACAATGTAGTCTCAAATTTTAATTCTTTTGTTGACTATTTCATTTATTTCTTTTTTCCAGTTAGTAATAAAAGAGAGAAAATAGTCAAGAAGATGTATATTATTCATGCGCATCGGGTAACCGGAATCTCGTAGGTATAAAAAAAGTACTCGCCAAACATGGAAAACTAGCTGATTGAATGCGCAATGATCCAAAACTTGATCAACGTCAAAAAACAAAACAAAAGATTCATATTCAGGAGATAATCGAAATTCAATTTTACTTTATGTGTTTCTTAAAGTCTAATTTTACGCAAAAAAAAAGTACTGTTTTGCCTCCATTTATGGTAAGAAGGATCGAGCTGAACATTTTTCATATATGTTCGTCATCATTTCGCGCGAGTGTTTCTTTCTATTTCAAGAATTGTTGCTTCGTTGATTTCTGGCAGCTTTCACAAAATTTCTTCTAGTAGAAAGAAGCAAGCGTTTTTTAGGGGCATCCGGTATTTTGACTTTTTTCTTGACAGAACAAACAATATATAGAAATAAAAAACAATTCTCAACCCAAATAGTTTTTGATACCTGTTAAAAAATTTCCTACTGGATCTAACGCAATATGGTGGAGAACTGCGAGCGAAAAAAAGAGTTCTTTTGACCCATTATGAGTTTAATATCTGATAGGAAACAACATTCGAATACGTCAGATCTAGCACAACTTTTGTTCTATTGTTCATGATGTATCTGAATAGTTTTTCTCACTACTGCTTCATGAACATACATTTTTATATGTTCTTTTGAAAAGAATGCAACAATGCCAAGTCTTATAACAGCTGAGATCAGGCAATGACCTGGTACCTTCATATTATTAGTTACCAAAGTGTTCTCCTTGAGAGTAATAAATTGTTTCTGTATAACATCTGAGTACATCGATTTTTCTGAAAATTATCAAACAGGTGCTGAATACGCAACACAGCAACATGCCAATGGTTTTAAGTTTATAATAATGATATAAATGGAAGTAAATATAGAAGAAAAAAAACAAAAATACTCTAACTTCTCCTTTCTGCAGTACGGACCTTAAAGTTTATGATGTGTTTTTGCCTAAAAGAATCCTTTAGCAATGAACAAAGGAATTGGTTGTCAGTTATATCAACTCTGCCAACAATCTGGAGTCTTCCAAAGCGTGTCTACAATACGTTTTCTAAAGGTACTGACAAGTAAAGGTTTTTTATGTTTGACATAGTTAAATAATTCTCTGAAGGAAGAACTGCATCTTGCATACAGCAAGTAGAAAAAAGTTAAAATTAAGAACGAGCTTTAGCGTTTGCCATAGATCAACTCGAGTGTTTTAGGCTTCATCGCCAAACACGATATAGTCTATCGAAGCATAATATGCAACTCAACATATACTTATAGTGAACTATCACGTTATTGTAATAAAAAAACAGAAGAAGGAAAGAATAATAACTGAAAAAAATTGTATTAAAATAACAGCGAACAATCGCTTAGCACATAGCAACAAAATAGAGAGACGCAAAGTGAATAATAGGAAAAAAATCACATCAAAATGCAAAAATGAAACTAGCAGAACGTTTTTCTCAAGGTCAATGAACATTCGGAAATAATTATTATTTATTAATAATTGATCCAATTATATATGTATTTTATATTTGTATAATATAGTTGAACAAGAAATAAGAAATAGATAGTTCATCAGTTGTTCAGTTCTCAGTGTAGTCGGTTGCTCGCAATTGAAATTTGAAAGGTTCTGCTGTTAAAATCAAATCTTGATAAGACTGCTACAATTGATACGCTAAAGTAAATACGAAATAAATCATTGATGATTTGTTTTTTTTATATTTAGTACCTGTGGTTACTATTATGGTTGAAGGTGGTCTAGATTCAATAGAAAATATATATTATGATTTAAGATCCAATATTCCTGTTATTATTATTGATGTAAGAAAATCGAATTAATTAACTAGTGTCTTATTGATTAATATATTGAAATAAATAGGGTAGTGGTCGTGCTGCTGATTTTTTTACTCGTTGGTTACTATGGACGAAGGATCTTGATAATGATGTTGAAAATCAAGATATTGTCTGTGAAATTGAAGAACTGGATGATGAAGATGACATAAAACAATGTCAGGACATGAGAACTAACAACACAAATCCAGCTGTATCACCCCAATTGAATGTCGAGTAATATCAATTCCTAGATTATGCTCTTTTTTTTCTTATTTCAAATTTCTATATTTAATAGTAAGAGCGGTTCTAATAAAAGTCATATTAATTCTGAAAGTAAAAAGTAAATCTACAAATCAATTATTCGTCTTTTCTTCGTTTTATCTATCTTTTTTTTTCTCCAAGACTTGCAGGAATATTTCTCAAATATAGTGATCAATTAAAAAACGACATGAAGGAAACCTTTTTTCAGAAAAAAAAAGAAGAAGACCAAGAGGAAATTATTGCTAAAATAGTTACTAAAGTTATGTATTGTCTACAACCAGCTGTTCGTTTTCATTTAACTGTATTCAATTTAAATTCCGACACTGATTTATCAGAAACAATTTTCCGCAGTATTTGTCGCTGTAAGTAAATAAATTTCTAATAAACTTTTTGTTTTCTTTGATTTCGGACGTTTTTTTAAGCACGTCAAAGATTCATAAAAATGAAAGAACAAAAAACTAATGAGCAACTGGAAACGCGTAGAAGAAGATTAGCAAAATTAAATTCTGGCAAACAAAAAACTGATGATCTAGCAGATCGTTCTAAGATTATGAAAAAGGATCAAGTTGCAGAACAAACAAGACTACTTGATTTAGCAATGAAATGGGATTGTATTACCGTTGCAAGAGAATTTATATTTCAAAACTCATTAGATAATATTTTGGTATTCATATTTATCTCAGTATTTTTTATCTATTATACTATTAATATCTTTTTTTTTAGGGAAAAGATAAATATTTTATAAAAGCTTTGAAAGAAAATTTACCAAACTTTGTCTATGAATTTCTTAAATTAGGAATTGATCCAGCTAATGTATTCTTTTCAAAAAAACGACATTCGGAAACAAAATCTCGATATGCCAGATTTATCAAAGAGCTTTATGATAATAAGTTAATGGTATGAAATTTATTCCAGAAAAAATAATTATTCATTTTTACAGATAATATATGACTCGTTCTTCTAGGATATCGGTAAAACTCATTTAAAAAAATTTATTCAAATTAGTAAACATGATACTAGCAGAATAATTAATGATGTTGAATCACTTAATTTGCTTCTGAAGCATCTTATTGGTGCTTATATGTATGAACTTTATTTTGACACACTAGAAGACGAACACAATTATCAAAAAAAATGGGGATTAATAGAGGATTCTGGAACATTAAAGCAAGATGAAAATGAAAATACTATAAACGAAAAAGATTTATTACTGAAGCCAGAAGAAAAAAAAGACTATAAATATATAATGCGTGATTTATTTTTATGGGCTGTTCTTATGAATCGTATTGAGATGGCCAAAGTTTTTTTATCTTTTATGAAAAATCGAATCTGTCCAGCATTGATTGCAACAAAAATTTTAAAACAATATCATTCAGTAGCAACCTATGGTGATTTAAAAAAGGCTTATATAAAGGATGCAACATATTTTGAAAAATATGCCATTACTTGTCTAGATAAATGTGATGATCATGATGTTCATAAATCATGTGAAATAATTTTACGACAAAATGAACTTTACGGATATGTTACTTGTCTTCAAGTATGTTTGATAGTATTTTTCTAATTCTTATAAAAAAAATGAATTTCTTAACTATATGTAAAGGTAGCTTCTGACGCGCAAGATAAATTATTTATTGCAGAACCAGCTAGTATAGAAGCTATGAATAATATTTGGTATGATAAACTTCATCCGGAACAAGCAAGTTATCGTCATCGATTGGCTTTGTTTTTTGGAATTGTTTCACTTGGCCTTTTGGCTCCTGTATTTGTTAAATACAGAGAAAGCAAAGAGGTCAGAATTAACCTTTATTAAAAGTCAAAAATACAACCTCTTTTTTTTGTGAAACATTTCTGCGTCGCCATTGAAACTTTTTTCAGTAAAGTAGATCGAAAGGGTTACAGGAATTTCGGCCCACGGAATTTTCGGCCCAGAATTTTTGACCATCACCCTCACATCCTAACGTCATCCTGAAGACAGTTAGGCTCTGGGCCGAAAATTCCTTGGGCCGAAATTCCGGTCTCCCGATCGAAATTTCTTCTTTCAAAGAAGATATTTTGATTAATGTAAACGTTCGCATATCTCTTTAAATGCATGTTTTTTACGCAAATTACTAGTATTTTTCGTTGATCTTTACCCCGGTCACACATTGTAAAATGCGAATTCGACAGAAGAAGCACTAACTATATTTTATCTAAGTGACATTAAAAAACTCGTCTTCTCGCATATTTATATTTCAGGTGAGGATCTTATAAAAAATGCTGAACATACTGTAGAATAAAAACTTTCCGCCACCTAGGTGTCGACAATCTGAGAAAATTACAGTTCTTTTTTATCAAAAGATCTTAGCCAATATTAGGCCTTCTCATGTACAGGAATATAAAAGACGTTACATCTGTACACGTATTAGTTGTAGAATATGTTATATTTAGAGTCTTCAATACATCAAGTATAGAAATATTTATAGGTTTAAAAGACGTTTATTGAATAATCTAGAATTGATGTTAATAAATGATACTTACATAAGGAAATTAATAATAAATCCGAACAAACTTGAGAGTTATTATTTGCTTATGTTTCAAATACATTTCTCATAATTATTTTTTATAAATGTTAGGCACGAAAAAGAAAGGAAGCTGTATCAGAAAAGTAAGTCCATAAAGTCCTAAAATGATTAACATTGATAACCATTAAAATTTCTTATTTAGGTTTCGAGATAATGGTATTAATTATGGTGATCCTAAACTGCTGGAATATCCACTCATTCTTAGATCACAAACAGATAGTGCACCCATTCTTTACCTGCGGAAACTGGCCAAATTTCATCGCTCGTTACCTATGAAATTTTGTTATCATGTGGTATGTACACACATAATGATCAGCTATATATATATAGAAGAATAAAAATCAATTCATTTTAGATAACCTATATTTTCTTTCTTTTACTTTTCTCGTATTTTCTTCTGTTCAATTTCTCACCACCAAAATCTCAAAGACCATCAATACATTGGACTGAAATATTAACAATTATTCTTGTTTCATGTATTTTAATAGAAGAAATTCATTATGTATGTGATAATCTGTTAAAATACAACTATTTTCTATTGATTTCTTTCATTTCTCTTATTTCAGTTTTTCACTCAAGACAGTTTAACCTTTGAAGGAAAATTAGAAAGTTACAGGCGTGATTATTTTAAGCCCATGACAATACTTGCAATTATTCTTTTCTACATTGGTTTAATTCTAAGATTTGCGAATGCAGGTTCCGAAGATAAATTTATGGCAGCCAGGTTTGTTTATTGAACTTTTTTTAAAGAAAGCACAATATTGTTATCTTTCATGTGGATCGGCGGAATAACACTGAGTTTTAATAATTTCTCTATAATACAGCATAGAAATTCAATGTATCTTAGGCAAAATAAATCGTGATCATATAAGATATATTTGTTTTTCTTTTCTTGAAATTAAATTAATTATCAATTCATTGATATAAACATATTTGTAGTATCCTACTGTTTACAAAAGAAAAAAAATGCAAACTCTACTTGAGCATTCATTTCTAATGTTGTTTTTCTACACATTGATGATCCTGTGCATTGAGATTTGAGAACAATTCACTTATGCATATTGGTATCTAAATATTTTGTATTTAATCGTATCTGAACACGTTTTTTTAACTCTTATATTCATTAGAATTGTGATGGCTATCGATCTCGAAATTTGGTGGCTTCGTTGTCTATCATTCATTATTGTTATACCATATCTTGGACCACATCTGGTAGCTATTTGGAAAATGGTATCAAATAAATACTTTCAAATGTCTTTGTTTTATTTAAACTTGTTTTGTTTGTTTTTTGTTTTTATAGATTCAAGATCTTTTATTTTTTATGGTTATTATTGCAGTAGTGATGATTGGTTATGGTGTTGCATCTCGTTCAATGGTTTATTATCCAAGAGCGAACAATTTTACAATGGAAACAGGTGGTTCTATAAATAATAGTTTTGATGGTAGAACTGTTTTTCGTCATATTATATATCCTGTCTATTATTTCTTATACGGAGATTTTGGTGACGAATTAACGAATCTTGATAGTATGTATATTTAAATGATTATTATATTTTATAGATTGTTTTTCACTTTGGAAAAGGTAACCCGGAGGCTGGATGGTCAATTGCAGATCATGTATTACTTGCTATTCATATGATATTTGTGAATATTTTATTAACTAATTTACTTATAGCCATGTTTACGTAAGATTCTCTAATTGATTAATTTTGTTTTTGGAATCATATTTTGTTTTTTATCTAAAAGTAAACGATTTGACAAAGTCTATGAAGATACACGAAATATTTGGCATTCACAACAATATTTATTTACGCGTGAATACTTCTCACGTTCACCATTTTTACCACCAATAAGTCTTTTGTATGATATTTATTATTTGGCTCGTATGTTTTTCTTCTATATAAGACGAAAACATTTTCAAAAATCAGCAGATCGAGATTCTCGCGTATTCAGTAAGAATAAAAAACAAAGGAAAATTTAAAATATGTCTTAATACATGTCTTGTAGAAATTATTTCCAAAAAGAAGCACACTATAAAAGAATGGAATGATTTTGAAGATGCATTCACATCTGAATATGCTCACGACGAAGTAAAAGCCTTGAACAATGCATCTATAAAGTAAAACGAACCAAACGAAAGTTTTTTTCATTATTAATACTAAAATAAATTTAGATCAAAATCTGGATCGGATTCAGATAATAAAGAGAACAAAGACGATATGATGAAAGATCATAGTGGTTTAACTGATGCTAACAATAATCTGAAACAAGTACAAAATGATTTAAACAAGTTGAAAGTGCTTGTTGAAGGACTGAACAAAGAATTGAATGACGAAATTGAAGTAAAATATTTCATCGTCCGATAAGACATTAAAAACTAAATGAATTGTTTTCTGTTTAGAAAAAAATTAGTCAAAACGGAGATCCAACTAATCCATGAACTTGAAATATTATTATTATTTGTTTATCTAACTGCTGTATTTTTCCCTTCGGTGTGATCTTTGATACAAAGTTTATTCAAGCTCTTGCATTATGTCCTCATTTTTGTATTGATGCTTTCTTTTTATTCTTCTCATTTTTTTCACGTAGATAATCTGGAAAGTTGAATTTTCGAAGCTTGTGATGAATAAAATATTCGATTGAAACCATATTAATGTGCTGCAACAGTTCTTGGATAAATATCTGATTCAGCTATATTCGAGCAAAATTTATAGGAAGCTCACTTTTATCTTTTGATTTTACAAAGTATAATTGCTATTTTAAAATGAAATATTTCGCTGACTGCTTGTTATGCCATAGTGAAAAAGTCGCTTTGGGTTTCTTCAAAACATGTACCATACACACTGTAAATTTCTTCGAATTAACTATTGCTTTGTCGGAAAAAAATGAATAGCTCGATTAAGATGTTACATTCTAGAGTAACTTTTAACTGTTTACGATTGAATGTTGCCGTTTGGCAATACCCGACAATAAAGAAACAAAAAGAATTTTCAAATCACCTTTCGTTTGCGATTGCCAATGTATTCTGTCATATTCTTACGGTAACATATATATATATATATTACTAGGCAAGGAAAATCCATTTCCTCATTAATAAGAAGACACTTTCTACATTTCATTCGAGATATAGATGCTTCCAGGTACATTGTCCAAGATTTATATCGACTTTTTTCTGCCGAGATGTAAGCATACTAATGTTGTAGCTCTTGTCAATTCGTGTAGAAACTGATATCGAGATATCATTTTAATCATGCACTTTCTGCAGCAGAACAGATTCAAAAGTCTATTTTCAAAAGTATCTTTCGAAATCTATCTGTTTTATTCTTAATGGAGGTTCTTTTGAAGATTCGATTTAACCGTTGGACACAGCATAAAAATTTGCGCATATAGAATAATTTTCAAAATTAGAACTCTAGAATGCATTGTTTGGAAGGGTTTGTAAATTTCGACAAAGAGAGACTTTGTGCTACAGTTGAACTGTCTATGAATGTTCTACTTGCAGTTAAAAAAGTCATACACATTATAATCAAAACGAAGCTTATACTATTCTTATTCAGAAGATATGTGCCGGTTTTTTTAAAGTGTTCTTCATTCTGGATATATTAATTTCAACGTTTCAGGAGTCAGAAACAATCTCATATCGGAATGTGAATCCCTCAATAACTAAATGTCAGAATTTCTTGAAACTTTTTTCTGAATAAATCTCGGTGATTACTACTAGTGATTAAAATAAAATAAAACCAGAACAAAGACTGTTCAAATCAAGTAATTCTAATTTTTCCTTATGCATATGAGACTTAATAATATGAGATGAAGTTTGTTCAATCCTTGCACACATTGTAAATTTCTTTTTTCAAATTATACAATTGAAGAATCGTTCAGCATTGGTTGTAGTCACGGATATTGCTATATATCATCATAACAGTTTACTGTATACAGAAAACATAGTTTTACCAACTTGTTATGTATTTAAAAGATGATATATGAATTGATTTTGTAACAAAACGTCATTTGTTCAAAGAACAAGAAAATTACATAATATTAGACAATTTTTACATTTAATAGTCTATCCATGCCTCGTGATTCCACAATCTATGATCGTCAGTTATTTCAAAATGAAAAACAAAAGAATACAGTAGTTCGACCTATCAAAGCTAGTAAATTATAAACAAAATAATTAAGAACTTACAAAAAGTATTCCTTTCATAATTTGTTATCATTCTTTTAAATTGTTTAGAAACGTATGATTTAATTACTTCAGAAACAAATGGTAACATATTAACTGTAACTGTTAAGATAATTTCAATGATCGAAAGTGTTTAATATTTAGTAATCAACATATAAATCATTATATAAAAACTAATCTTTGATTAAAATAATTTAGATGACTGCTTACTTTTCACAAAAAAGAAATTACATTTCACTTATATTCCTTAGATACATTACATCACATCCAAATTCTCAACACAAATACTGTAACAGAAAGTCATTTTCACATTTATAAAAGCTTTATTTTTAGTTCTAAAACAAAACTGTTCTGTATACAATTCATTATTACTTATTGAGAAGATTTCCAGGTAACAACATCGTCGTCATCATTATGATCCTTGTTTTGTTTTTTACATTTAAAATCATTGCCATTATTACGCATATCTTCTTTATTGTCATATGCATCTCTTCGACCTCGAACGCATTTATCTCCACAACAACTTGTTGTTGTTTCACGTCGAAATGATGATAATGGTTCGTTGACTTTTATTTCAAAATAATGTTGTATTCCAGGAAAATGTTCATGTGGTCCTTGACAACTGCATGAAAGGTTTGTACATGTTACATCAGATCTTTGATTCGGTTTCATCTGAGACTGTAATGATGCAGACGGTTTATTTTTGGGTTGATTAGATTCTGCTTGTGATAATGTTTCTTCGTCTTCTTCATCGTCTTCTTCTTGTTTTGCTCTTCCTTCAGAAATAATATCGAAAAATAAATTGAGTAAACACATAGCAACAGAAAAAAATGTAAAAAAAAATAAAAACAAACCTTTTAACTCAGTAACGGTTATAACTTGAGTAATCAGCTGCTTTGTATTAGGAACAGTAAATTTAATAGGATCTGATCGATATTCTTTTTTGCCATCTTTAAAAGTAAAAATAGTACAAATATCATCATAATAGGAAGAAAACATTAATAGCTTACCCTTAAATCTTGCTATGATATGAATAGTATGCTCAAGAGACTTGTCATCAGGTTCAAAACTATCAATACAAACTGTATATATATCAGCTATTGAAGGATCACGTATCTACATGATACATTAATAAAGAAATATATGTTTATATTCATTCTTTAATCCTACGTATTGAACTTCTTTATCATCTAATTCAACAACATATTGTTTAACTGTTGGATCACCAATATGATGCCATCGAATATTAAGATTAGGTTTTGAAGCTGAATCTGGCCATACAATGTTTGCAGTTGGTGTTAAATAAGAAATTCTAGGTTTAATCGAAAACGACTAGTAATTATAAATAATTTTTTTTACAAAAACACTCTTTCAATGAGATATATAGCATACTTGAGTGTTGGAGGTTTTTAACGGTAAACCTGAACTTAGGGGCTCAGCCTCAATACTTATTGATATACTTTGTTTTGTTGGATCAAAACCAGATGCTGATATACGTCGATATTCCCTATCAAATGTAGTTACCTTCGAACCATCAACAACTAACTGTAAGCAAAAAAATACTAATAAAATGTCATTTTCGTCGATTGAAAAATATATTTTTTACTTCGATCATTACTTTTATTTTTCAAAAGTTTCTTAGAATATCTTTTTTTTGCTAAAAAGAAATACTTACTACAAATTTTTTAACGAGTTTTCTGGCAGTATCAGGAGTAACTTCGATGGTACCAGAAATTTTATTATCTGTAAACACCGATTTGCCAAGATGAAGCTTAACTTGAACATCTTCCCGTGATTGAACAAGTTTCTATCAAAAAAAAAAATAAATAAAATAAAACTTATTATCGATTATAATTTTTATAAAAATTCACAACTTTTTCTGCTTCTGAAGTGTGTACACTAAAAACCAAACAACATAAAAGAATAATCTAGAATTTCAATCAAAACAAATGAAACACATCATACCTTGATTCATGTTCGATATTTTCATGAGACATATTTTGTTAATTATATTTGAAATAAATTATAAATTGAAAAAATAATACAACAAGCTTTTTGTAGATTAATATAGTATCAATATGTATGTGGTATTTTTCTTTCTTTTAAAAATAAATTTATTTTTTTCTGCGGAAAAAATCCTCATCTGAAAAATCTTTCAGAGAAAAAAAAAGAACTATTTATAAAAAAAGAATACAATGACAAGAGCAAACATTTTCTGCTGTTTATGTTACTCAGTTAGTTGTTGATTTCTTCTGTCTTCCTTTTCGTTTCCATAGTAATTTAAGAATCAGTGTGTGGATGGTTGCTATATAACTCTCAAACATAAAAAATTTAAAAGAAATAGTAAACGCAATAGAGCACTTTATAATTCCAACTATAACTTAAAACATAACCATTTAGTGATAAGACCCAAAGTAAATGTCATCTCGAACTCGTTCTGTTCAACCTCAAGGAGAAGTAAATTATTATTTAATAAATTTGATTAGATTTTATTGTTTTCTTCTTCTTTTTAGTCTGAACATGAATCTTGGGAAAAATTCTACCAACTAAATATTAATTATCGAGTTTGCCGTTCTTTTTGTCCGAAACCGTCTGTCTTTTGTTTTAATTTTTTATTAAATTGAATATCTATTTGCTTTGTTCTTAATAGTGATGATCAAGAAACTTGTGAATGTAATCAAAGAAAAGCTTTTCATACAGACCTAACAGGCAAAAAAGAAAATAAATGGAAGATATCGAGTCATACTGAGCAAAAATTCAATGATAGATATTTTGGTACACTCTTTAATGACGCTTCAGTATGAAAAATCTACAAAATTCTTTTGTTTACCAACTATTGTTTATATTCATTTAGTATGTTCGTCTTGATATTGAGACACAACTAACAACAGTTACAAAGCTTCTTTTCGAAGTTTGGAAAATTCCAGAACCTAAGTTGATTATGTCAATTATTGGTGGCGCGAAATATTTTAAATTAAACGATCGGCTTGAATCAAATGTTATTAAGGGTATTATGAATGTTGCTTGTAAATCAAGTATATATATACACATATATAATGAATGAGATAAAATACTAGAATTTATATATGTAATAGATGTATGGATGATTACAACTGGATATAATGTTGGCATTGTTCAACTTCTGGGACAAGCAATTGGTAAAGTTAAATTAAAATATCCAAACCAAAAGATAACTGCTATTGGTATTGGTAAATGGGGAAGTATTAAAGATGTACAAAAATTAACAGGCAAAAACGGAAAAAAACCTCAGGTTTAATATATTTTTATATTAAAAATATTTATATTTATATGTAATGTTTTTCCAGAAAGGTAAAATTCCAATCGAACATTCAGATAATGAAGAAGCACCTGATAAACTGAGAAAAGGCGAAAGTGATCTTGAAAAAAATCATAGTCATTACTTGATGTTAGATGATGGAAGATATCGGCATTTTGACACGAGAGATTTTCGAACAAGATTATGTGAACACATGGCAAACCTAGACAAGAAGAATGGTTTTCACAGTATGTACATATTTTATCTAAATGGCTTCAAAGGAATAGTATTACGTATATTGCGAAGTATAGATCTTTTTTTCTTATAGTTTTCTAAAACAGATCCTATCCGATACTTAAGATGTGCAGGGTAAACTTTTTTTTATATTCTGTATTATGACTGCGAAAAACTTTCTCACCCTTTTCTACTCTACACAGTAAAAAAAAATGTATAATAATAAATCTTCACTATTCGTTTATTATCATTCCATAATCCTTTTCTGCTCACAAGTCTTGGCAAAAGTCTGTTACCAATTGAAAATTTATACATTCTTGTACTATTTTCTGTGTTCATAAACTTTTTTTTTCGGTAACTAAATAGAATAAACCCTTAAGTGAAGTATTTATCATTGCACGTTTTAAACAAAACCGTAGAATAATAAACAGCTCCTATGAAAATTTAGTCCTTTTTTACAACAAAAAAATGATTTATTAACACAGAAACCAGTACAAGATGATACGAATTTGTAATGAGTCACAAATTCTTGCTAAGATTTATGAACAGAAAGAATTTATGAGACGGTGGATTATGCTCAAAGAGCTAAAACGGTGTATGTAGTGATAATAAACAGATAGTGAGAGTTTATTATCCTACACTTTTTGTACACTATGCCCTGCATGCTTCTAATTAGTACTATAGTGTTCTTATTATGTCGTCACAAATGGTGACTTACTTGACCATTAGCATCTCAGACTAATATCCTTATCCTTGAAGCAGTTTTAGTTTTTGTTTGTTTTTCTATACCATTATTGTTATGCTTCACAATTAAAACATATTATTTACAAGCATACGATATAAAATAAGAAATTGCTCCATTTACAGTCTGATAACTGACTCAGGATACAATGATAATCTTATTTCTCTCTATTATTGTTTATAACTCATTCTTGATTTTATCTATATTTAGCTCCTGTTGTCACTATCGTTGTTGATGGTGGTAGTGATACTATGGCAAATATATATTATGATTTAAAGCATAATATTCCTGTTGTTATTATTAATGTAAGTTAATGATATGAATTATTAATGTTTGGTTTTTAAATTATACACCAATTTTCTATATATAGGGTAGTGGTCGTATTGCTGATTTTTTGAGTCGTTGGTTATTGTATACAAAAAACTTCGAAAATGATTCTGAACACGGTAAAGTGGCATATGGAATCTATGAATTAAAAACAAAAGATGTTACACAAAAAGTTTCAAAAAACAGAAAAACACCAAAATCAAGAAACAGGTAGAAACAATTTAAAGATATTTCATTTTGATGATTGTATTTTTTACAGAACTGATATACATGCTGAACTTCATGTTGATCCATCTGAAACAAAGTAAAAATAATTATGTGAATCATTTATCTTTCAATCTTTTTTTATTGATTTCTTGTTTTTCTGTTTTTGTTGAAGACTTTGTAATCTATTTACTAAATATGAGAAAGAACTTAAAAATGATTTAGAAAGTGTTTTATCTCCTGATAATGATTCACATAAAAAAAACTCTTCAAAATCAGGCACCAGCAATAATCATTCTGATAAAAACCTAGAACGTACACTTAATCAAGTTATGTATTGTCTACAGCCAGCTGTTCGCTCTCAAATAACTGTATTTAACTTACATTCCGAAACTAATTTATCAGAAACAATTTTTGAAAGTATTTGTAAATGTAAGTTAATTATTTTCATATGTTTAAATTCTTGTCTAGGAATATAAGAGAAAAAAGTTCGCGGCTTTTTCTCTATCGACATATCTTTGCAACTACTTGAGAGACTTTAACAAATAAAGTCTTCTGTGTAAATTGTAGAGCTTTTCATTCTGCATCTTGTGGTATATTTTGTTTTTTTTTAATAAAATGTATTAGGTGATGAAAAGATGCAATGAATGATGCATGCAGAAAAAAATGATCTTTTCACAGCGTCGAAAATCAGTCGCACAGAATTTTGCTTTGTTTGAAAACAAAAAGTGCATAATTAAAATCAGCTTTATTTTATAGATTGTAGAGCTTTTCATGCTGCATCTTGTGACATACATTGTTTTTTTTTAAATAACGTATTAAGTGTTGAAAAGTTGAAATGCAAACTGCCACCGTTTAATTTGCCCCATCTATTGTGTTTTGAGCACCAAAAACCCATGTAACAAAACTTCCTTTATTGATGCTCTTACTTCTTGAGCTAGAACCTTTATTTTTTTGCACAATAAGTGTACTTTGAAATGCTCTTTAAAATGACTATTTATTTGTTGAAATTGCTCAAGTAGTTGCAAAGATATATCGATAGGAAAAATGCCGCGAACTTTTTTCCCATGCCTTATTTTGTGTTTTCATATTCTTTAGCATTTGAAAGCTCATCAAAAGACAGTACAAAGGAACAAAATAGTAAGTAAAATAACAATCAATTTAATTCTAATACAAAGCAAAAAATTTAACATTATAGAGCATACACCATTCCTTGACTTAGCAATGGAGTGGAATTGTATACATGTAGCCAAAGCATTTGTTTTCCAAAATTCATTAGATAACATATCGGTATTCATATTTATCTCATTTTTCTATTTATATATTGTTGATATTTTTGATTTTAGGATCCAGAAAAGGCTTTTCTAACTGCTTTAAAACAGGATTTACCAACATTTGTATATGAATTTCTCAAATTAGGAATTCAGCCAGCTAAAATATTCTTTCCATCAAACCAATTTTTTTTAATAGAAGGTAATCGATATGCCACGTTCATTCAAGAACTTTACAACGATAATAATGATTATATGGTATGAGATTTAGTTAGAAAAAGTTTTTCATCTTTTTTACAGATAATATATATATATGATTTGTTTTCCTAGGCTACCGATAAAACTCATTTTAAATATTTTATCGAACATCGTGGAGTTGTAGGTAACAAAAATATTGATTCGGTTGACTCACTTAATAGAGTTCTCGAAAATCTTATCGGTGATTATATGCATAAACTTTATTTTGAAACCGACGAACATGAAGAAAAAGATCGAATAAAATGGGGATTAATGCGAAGTTCTAAACAATCCAAAAAAGATAAAAATAAAGATATTGAAAATATTAAATATTCATCCACTGAACTAAAAAAACAACAACCAGACAGATATATAATGCGGGATTTATTTTTATGGGCTGTTCTAATGAATCGTATTGATATGGCTAAAGTTTTTTTATCCCAATTGAAATATCGAATATGTCCAGCATTGATTGCAACAAAAATTTTAAAACAATATTATTCGATAGCACATCACGGTGAACTAAAGACAGGTTATGGCGACAACCTTAACTATTTTGAAAAATATGCAATTGATTGTCTCAATAAATGTGATCATAATGCAGAACGAGCTTGTGAACTTGTTGTACAACAAAATGAACTTTATGGATATGTTAGTTGTCTTCAAGTATGTTTGATAATATTTTCTAACTCGTGAAAAAAAGCATCTAATATCTATTTAAAGATTGCTTCTGATGCGCATGATAAATCATTTATTGCAGAACCAGCTTGTATACAAGGTATGAATAATATTTGGTTTGACAAACTTCATCCAGAACAAAAGACAATCATGCAAAAGTTAGCTTTGTTGGCTGGTGTTATTTCACTTGGTTTTTTGGCGCCTAGTGTTGTTACATTTCGGAACGTTGACAAGGTTCGAAGAAAAGTTCTTCTTTTAAATGAATGATAGATAGAATTGACTAATATTTAAGAAGTGAATAAAATAGATGAAATAGTCAGTACTTGTTTTATCAATATATTAATTAGAAAATAGCCAGTTTATTATATATAATTTAGTAGTAAATAAATTAAGATTTGGTCAGTGAAAAACTATAGATTCTATCAAAAGAGGGTTTTTGGTTATCCACATAAAATAGCATGTGGATGTAGGTCCGAATAGGATTTTCATTTCATTTACATTATTATGATCATTATGCTTAGCTGCAGTTTTATAAGCAGATACTGTTTTCACTGTCTGCATGATATAACAGATAAAAATACTTGTTCTACATTAAGATCTAAAACGCTTGACTTTATTGCATCTGTGATAAACTGTTGTACCATTCATTTTCAATTAATGTTTCTGCTTTACTAACATTATCTAATGTAGGCTTCGTTAACCCAATATTTGATTTCTTTTTTTTTTTATACTTTTATTTCATCATTTTTTTTTCGCAAGCTCTTAATCTAATATATCACTTTTATACTGAGCACCCTGTACTACGTTCATCTTTTTTTACTCGTAGACTTTAAGTTGAGATCGAAGGAAAGGATAGAGGCAAAAAATATCTGAATCTGTGTCATAGATTGCATCTGTAGTATATGATGGAAGGAAACCAAAAAAAGAAAATGAATCACACTAATGCATATTTCCAATGTTTATACTTAGTCATTAATTTAATTGACTAACGGGAAATTTAATTTACTGATGCTTAAATTTATTAACAAACCTGATTCATTACTAACGGACTATCTAAGTAACTTATTGACAAAAAATTGTGTTGTCGATATTTTTTGAGATCTAATTTATAAGAACAGATTTCGATCATGACTATTATAGATCACCTAACATATAAGAAACAGATTATTGTATAAATTCATGAAAAAAGAAGAAGTAATTCAGGAACTGATTGATTCTTAGAGTTCTTATTAATACTGAAAATCAAAGCAATAAAAAAAAGGATATTTTTGATAAAAATATTCTAGTTTTCAAAGTTGATATTATCGTGTAACTTGTGTTTGTTTGGACTTCAGAAAATTTAATAGATCTATATGAATCATGCAGTGTTTGTCATGCTATAGTAAAGACACAGGATTGATACTATTTAGTTTCTTAGTTTGAACAGAAATCTTATGATTATCTTTATTTTTACCAGGAGACAGTAATTGGTGAATCTCTTAAAGCGAAGTATGTATATGAGATATAACAATGCTTAATTATAAATTATTTCTATGATTTTTTTCAGGTTGGAACCATTTGGCATAAATTATTCTGACCCATATCCACTTGAATATCCTCGTTATTTTGAATTAACACCTACATTGAATACATATATACATCGATTTGAACATTTCCATTTATCGCCTATGATAAAATTTTGCTATCATTTGGTATGCCCATATATAATGATAAAATATATGTTGAAGAATAAAAATCATTTTATTTTAGACAGCTCATCTTTTTTTTCTTTTACTCTTCTCCTATGTACTTTTGTTCAATTTTTCACCACCAAAAGCTCAAAGTCCATCAATACATTGGACTGAAATATTAACAATTATTCTTGTTTCATGTATGTTAATAGACGAATTTCATTATGTATGTATTATTTGTTAAAATATAACTATTTTCTATTGAATCTTTATTGCTATCTAATTTTAGTTTTTCACTCAAGACAATTTAACTTTTTCGGGAAAATTAAAACATTCTTTTCGTGATTTTTTCAAATCGCTGACTACTCTCGCAATTATTCTTTTCTACATTGGATTGATTCTACGATTTACACATGCAGATTCCGAAGAAAAGTTTGTTGTAGCTAGGTTTGTTGATTTAATTATTCAAGATGACATAGAATATTATTATATATAGTTTGACTTTAGTTTTGAAAATTAAAGTCAATTAAATAAAACTTATTAGAATGAAGCTTTTCTTCTAAAAAATCGATCTTAGATCAGATACATTCAAATCATATAATATTTTCAGGGTATGGTGAAGCTGGGCCGGAATCTACGATAAAATTTTTAGTTTAATATCATGACGTTTCAGGAAGATATTCAATAAAAAAAAGGTCAAAAATAGCTCATTTGACAACCTCAAATTCTCTATGTATTCCATTTACATCATTTTTCGTTTGAAAACGCACATCTAATTTACAGATGTGAAGTATCAAATTGTTGTGTGCTCAGTTTCGATAACTTTTGCTACACATCGATCTCGGTCATAGGACCGCCAATTTTAGTTTTTTTGGGTGTCGGAATAGAGAAAACTATTTCAGAGTTTATTCGTGTCACATCTAAACTAATTCTCGGTGAATAACACTTTTTTTTAGGTCGTTTCTGTTGAATTACATTCCGATTTGTATGATTTATAAGATCATTGGTTTCAAACCATGAAGCATTTTCCTATAAACTTAAGTTTCGTTTCCGACAAATTCTTTTCTTGTGATCCCGATTCCACACATATGTAATCAGAATGTAGGACATGGCAGAGCCATTTTTTAAATTCTTGATGTCTAAGGGTAGAAAAAAAGATGAAAAATTCAATTTCTCCAAAAATCTGTCAAAAAATGGCGTTGTACCTATAAAACTAATCGTTTGTATTGTAGTAGCAAAGCTTAATTCAAAAAAGAGACCCTGAAATACTCTGTTCTTTCGAACATATAAAAGTGTGCAAAGAATTTTAGTTGTGTGATCAACATAACGTCAACAGAGAAGGAAAAGTGACAATCATTTCTCACGTTTTCTGAAAATAGCACATTTTTCAAGCAGAAAATGACAGAAATCGTCATAGTTTTTTGGAAAAAAGAGTCAGGTACCACACAAAAAGTGATGTCGTCTATGAAAGACCAAATCTCGAGCCATCTTCCATTTTGACAAAAATTGAACTATTATTTTTGAATCTGATCTTAACAGAATTTTATTTGTCGAAACGAATTTCAATTGGTTTTAGTCGTATCTTTCTTTTTCATAAAAGGCTTATAATGTTCACGAAATTCTTTTGTTATTTAGAGTAATTATGGCTTACGACATCGAGCTATGGTGGCTTCGTTGTCTATCATTCATTATTGTTGTACCATATCTTGGACCACATCTGGTAGCTATTTGGAAAATGGTATCAAATAAATACTTTCAAATGTCTTTGTTTTATTTAAACTTGTTTTGTTTGTTTTTTGTTTTTATAGATTCAAGATCTTTTATTTTTTATGGTTATTATTGCAGTAGTGATGATTGGTTATGGTGTTGCATCTCGTTCAATGGTTTATTATCCAAGAGCGAACAATTTTACAATGGAAACAGGTGGTTCTATAGATAATAGTTTTGATGGTAGAAGTGTTTTTCGTCATATTGCATATCCAGTTTATTATTTATTACACGGAGAAGTTGGTGACGAACGAACAAGTCTTGATAGTATGTATATTAAAGATGGCTATGATATTTTATAGATTGTTTTTTTCACTATTGAATAGGTAATCCGGATGCTGCTTGGTCAATTTCAAATCATATTTTGCTTGCTATTCATATGTTATTTGTTAATATTTTACTTACTAATCTGCTTATTGCAATGTTTAGGTAAAGTGATATATTTGGTCAATTTTATTTTTAAAATCATATTTTGATTGTTTTTTTCGAAAAGTAAACGATTTGACGAAGTTTATGAAGATATACAAAATATTTGGCAGTCACAAAAATATTTATTTACACGTGAATATTTCACACGTTCACCATTTTTACCACCAATAAATCTTATTTATGATATTTATTATTTATCGCGTATGTTCGTCTTTTTTATAAGACGAACATTTTTTGACCAACCAGGAGATCATCATGCTAAAGTATTCAGTAAGAATGACAGAATATTTACATACTTCAGGATGTTTTTATTATTTTTGTTAATATTTTTTTTTCTAGAAATGATTGCAAAAAACAAACCTCTTTTAGAAGAATGGCGTGAATTTGAAGGTGCAGCAACATATCAATATGCTCATGATCAAGTAAAAGCATTGAAAGATGCATCAACACGGTAAATTTGAAAATAAAACAAACTGTTTTAAATGAAACATTTTTTTTCTAGGTTATCAGAGGGATCAGATTCGTCTAGTAGAAAAAAAAAAGAGGATCCAATGAATAAAGATAATGTGTTAAGTGATACTATGGACAATATAAAAGAAGTACAAGAGAATATAAAGAATTTAAGTTCAACACTTGATGGAATGAGACCACGAATTATGAATTTAATTTCGTAAAAGATTTTATTGTTTAGTCTTCAGTCTTATATATAATATATATTTCTTTTGATAGAGAGTCCAATAATAATAATATCAACAAAGATGTTTAATAGTCGAAGAATACAAGAAACAGAAATTTAACTTTGAATATTTTAATAATTGCAGGTTTCTTTTTTTTTTCATCATGATTTATTAAAGTTTTTATTAGTGATCATTTATTGTGATGTCGATTTTAGTATTGCCGTTCGTTTGTTTGCTGTGCGGTTATATTTATTCATTGCATATACATTATCTGAAGTGTATAATTTTTATTTTTAGAACCTTGATCTTGATGTCGGTTTCATTTTTCCTAATGATTCTTATCGCGATCTTATATATTTTCATAGTTACAATAAAAATAAATAAATATTTTCAATGAAATCCTAATTGAATATATGCTAATTTTATTCAATGCCATTCATAAAGGAGAAAATTTTCATAAATAACTTGGTAGAATGAAGTAACAGGTTGGTTTTGATTAGTTTTATTATGTATATAATCATAAAAATTTGTACATTCAAATCATAGCAGAGATTATGATAAAATCTATTGTTTTTCAGTTTTGTCAGTAGTTATAATTTGTAATGATGACTTATTACTTCTAAGAGCAAGAGTTTTTTGGTAATAAATAATTATTAAAGGAGATCCTTGTCTTAACAATCTGTTTTGGCGTAGTGCATGAGTGTCACTATACTTTAAGGTACACAATCTGAAATCCTTTTTTTTTTTTGGAGAAGATTTGTTTATCGTTTATAATTGGAAGAAAAATATTGTTTTATTGCTGCTGTATTTAATTTTCGCTAGTGTCAAAACTCCTCGAATCTTAAAATACCAAAAACCGGTTTTTACAGAACTCTAGACTCTTTTAAAATTCATTCGTCTCAACCGAAGAATTATGAAGCGCCCATTAGATACAAGAAGAGCAATTCTCTAGAACATGCACAAAAATCTCTTCCAAGAAAATTACAAAAACTTTTTTCTCTATGTTGTCTATCGATCATTCTAGATACAAACTGAGAAGCTTCTAAATAGCAGACTTTAAGTCCACTTTTCACTTTAATACTAAACAGAAGGTGTAGCCTACCAGGTAAGTTCTGACAACAACTGACTTCAGTTGCAAACGCTTTTCATCCAATGTCTTCTACCAGTGGTGTTGACAAGTCAGCCTCAATTGAGTAAATAGTTTGTTAGCATCTTCCTAAAGTAAATTTTGCTGGTGAAATATATCAATTACGTTTATACTTATATAACCTATGATATCGTCAGTTTCATTTACGTTTTTCTCTCTCACACGATGTAAGATAGAATTTCGTAGTAGAAAACTGACATTAACCAAAATATAAGTACTAATCATTATTTAAATAATATTAAATGTCAGTTTTAGACTTGAATATTTTTCTAAAAGTAAAATCAGGTATATCATGAGAATGTTTCAGATTTAGAGCTAAGCCATCTACAAAACCTCTATTTTCGTCAAAAAGGAATGATTTTTGAGATCAACATTCAGAGATATGATGTAAGGATGTAAAAATCTTGTCCAGCTAACGATCAATTAGAATGATCAAAATAGAATTTCAATATTCTCGACAGTTAATAGTGTCATGTGGTAGATTATACATTGCTTCATCAAAAAAGGAAATTTATTTGGTACTTTTCCATGACAAAGAAAAAAGTCACATGAGAAACAAGAAGAATACGTATTTTAAATTTTATCATCGCTTCTGTGCCATGGAACGAAATGTTTTAAAAATATAGAATCAGAATTAAACATGGAGATACTATAGATATTCTGAATCGGCAAAATGGCGATTTTATTCTAATATAATTTCTATCGGCTTCATAACTGGAAAGTCGAAACCAAGAGCAGTTGAAAACTATCAAATTCATAGTGAGTATGTTACCAAAACAGCTTTTTATTACAATTTACTCCTGAACTACATTAGTATTTTATGCTCCACTTACTAATTTCGGCTGATCTTTTATGAGTTATTTAATAACAGAGTTGGTTCTATATATCTCCTTTTGCTGATGCAAAACAAGAGTAACACCCTCACGGAAGCTACCTATTACCAAATAATAATCCTAAAATGTTAGGTTTAATAAGCTCAATTAATTCCATAGCACAAGGTTTTCAATATATTATCCAGCATTATCACCCGATAGAGATTTCGTTTTTTAATTAGGCGCACAGCTACGAACATAATTTTTTTCTATTTATATAAAAACTCATATTTTCGTTTGCATTAACAAAACATGGCACGTAGCTGCCGTTGTTTTTACTAGATCGAGTATGGATTCTCAGTACTCACCTTGTAATGTATGAATAAGAGACTTTTTCTTCGTCAAGATCGAATATAAATTTTGAAAGTATCTTTATGAATAAGCGAAGTAAGGTCTCAAAATTGTGATGTATTACCTTGCAACAAAACGCAGATATTTTTCTACTACAGCACACACATAAAATGTAAACATGATCCATTGTTTTCCAGTTCGAAAATGACTCAAAAAAAAACTTCACAACATGATATATTTCGAGTTTATATATCATGTATCAACCATGGAAAATTCGAAGACAAATAAACATCGATATAAATTACTAATCAAAAACCATAATCTTAAAAGATTCTTTCATTGTTTCGGTCAAAGCTTGCTTAGACAAACTAAATTGCAATTGAAAACATTGACGAAGTCCATATCGTTATAAATTACGCATGAATAATGTCATCCCTTATATTTAGTCATTTCAACAAATAGTAAACTCAAAAAGTATATTTACCTTGTGATATTTTTAACTCTGAGTATTGTTATTGCGAAATTACAGTGTCAACGTTATTTCGCAATTTCTTTCAAACGTAAAATTGCTTTCTTTCGCAATTACATACCAAGAATATATTTAGTATAAAAGGTAATTCATACTTCATAAAGTCTCTATCTTTTCACATTCTATGCTAATACGAAGGTAGTATTTCATTCTACTTATCTATCGATTTCTTTGATCTTACATCACATATCACAAACTCACCGTCTATTATGTCGAGACAACGAACTGAAGCTGTGGCTGAAACAATGTCAAAGTCACACAATATTCGTAATATGTGTGTCATTGCACATGTTGATCATGGTAAATCGACATTAACTGATGCATTAGTTTATAAGGCTGGTATTATTACTGAGCAACAAGCTGGCGAACGTCGATTTACTGATACATTGGAAGCCGAAAAAGAAAAGGGCATTACAATTAAATCATCATCTGTTAGTATGTTCTATGAATTGGATGATCAAATTCTCGGTTCGTACACTTAAAAAGAATTAAATTAATATGAAAAAAAAAAACGAAATAAATATTTGACTTTTTTTAAATAGGTGATCTCAAACGGGACGGTAATGGATTTCTAGTCAATCTTATTGATTCTCCAGGTCATGTTGATTTTTCATCAGAGGTTACTGCTGCATTACGTGTAACTGATGGTGCATTACTTGTAGTTGATGCTGTCTCAGGTGTATCTGTACAAACTGAAACTGTTCTTCGACAAGCTCTGTCTGAACGTGTACAATTAGCATTAGTTATAAATAAAGTTGATCGATGTATATTAGAACAAAAATTAGAACCTGAAGAACTTTATCAAAAGTTATCAGGTATCGTTGCACGATGTAATGCCTTAATAGCAACATATCGAAGTACTGATGATATGATTTATTCGGATGAACATTTTAATCCAAAATTAGGTAATGTTGCATTTGCATCTGGTAAACAAGGTTGGGCATTTACAATACATCAATTTGCAACATTTTTTTCTGAAAAAACAAAAATATCTAAAGATAAATATATAGATCGTTTATGGGGTGAATCATATTATTCATCAGCAAATAAAAAATGGATTTCATATGAACAATCAAGATCAATTGATGATGCTAATCGTGGTTTTAATCAATTTATTCTTCAACCACTTTATCAAATTCTTCATGCATGTACAGAATTAAATATGGATGAAGTTCGAACATTATTAACAAAAATCGATATTAAATTACCAGCTGCTAAACTAGATGCTACTGTACTTGATGGTAAAACAATAACATCGAATGTAATGAAACGTTGGTTACCAGCTGGTGAAGCTATGTTACATTTAATTATTCTTCATCTTCCATCTCCTGTACAAGCACAAATTTATCGTATTCAACATTTATATGAAGGTCCTCAAGATGATCAAGTAGCATGTTCAATGAAAGCTTGTGATCCAAATGGTGAAGTTATGATTTACATTAGTAAGAAAATTCCTGCTCAAGATGGATCACGTTTTCTTTGTTTTGGTCGTATTTTTTCTGGTACAATTATATCAGGAACAAATGTACGTATTCTTGGTCCTGATTATCGACCAGGTTCAACAACTGATTTACAAATAAAAAATGTAACAAGTGTTGGAGTTATGGTTGGTGATCGTTGTATATCAATGAATCATGTACCAGCTGGTAATGTTGTTGCATTAACAGGTATTGATAAATGTTTAGTAAAAACAGCAACAATAACAACAAGTTCTGAAGCACATAATTTTCGTGTTATGAAATTTTCTGTTAGTCCAGTTGTACGTGTTGCTGTTGATGTAAAAGATCCAACTGATCATGCTAAACTTGTTGATGGTCTTAAAAAATTAGTTCAAGGTGATTCACTTGTACAAGTATTAAATGAAAATGGACAACATGTTATTGCTACAGCTGGTGAATTACATTTAGAAATATGTTTAGCTGAATTAGAAAAAACACATGCACGTTGTCCACTTAAAGTAGCAACACCAATTGTAACATATCGTGAAACGATAACTGCTGAATCACGTCAAATAGCTTTTACAAAAACAACAAATAAACATAATAAATTTTTTATGCGTGCATCACCATTAGAAGCAGGTTTAGCTGAAGCTATTGAATCAGGTCGTATATCATCGAAACAAGATCCAAAAGAAAGATCAAGAATATTAGTTGATGAATTTGGTTGGGATTTAGCTGCAACAAAGAAAATTTGGGCATTTGGTCCATATGATAATGGACCAAACATACTTGTTGATGGAACAAGAAGTGTTGATGGTTTAGGAAATATTCAAGATGCAATTGTTGCTGCTTTTCAATGGACGACTCAAGAAGGTGTTCTTGCATCTGAAAATCTTCATGGTGTTCGAATTGAATTACTTGATGCTGAAATTCATCGAGATGCAGGTATGACAGACGAATGCACTGTTTCTTTTTTTTTTGTTAATACCAAATTTTATTTCTATTCTATAGCTCATCGTCGACCTGATCAAATTATTCCAGCTATTCGTCGATGTCTTTTAGCAAGTTTACATATGGCTGAACCTCGTCTACTTGAACCTATGTTTCTTGTTGATATTGAATGTCCAACATCTATGATCGGTAGAGTTTATGCAACATTAAACAAACGTCGTGGTCAAATAAATGAAGAAGTTGAATTAAGTGGAACAACATTATCTCGTATAAAAGCCTTTTTACCTGTTAATGAATCATTTGGTTTTACAGCTGAATTACGTCAAGTAACAAGTGGTACAGCATTTCCTCAATGTCAATTTGATCATTGGTCATTATTACCTGGTGAACCGTTTGAAATGAATTCAAAATGTGGATTAATTGTAAATGATATACGTCAACGTAAATCTTTACCACAACAAATTCCAACATTGGAATCTCTCATCGATCGACAATAAACTTTTATCTTTTTTTTTTCTTTCACTTCTATAATTGCTTTTTTATTTCTTTCTTTTTAATTTTTTCCAATAAAACAACAAACAACCAACCAAACAAATAAAAACAAACAATAAAAGTTTACACATCAGTACCTAAATCTTGTCCATGTGTATGAAAATGTGTTAAAAGTGTAACTTTAGTTGTTAAATCAGGTGCATGAAATTTTTCTACTATTGATAATGATGAAGCTTGCCGTTTAAAAGTATCTTGATAAATTTCTTTTTCAATTGTTTTTTGTTTTCTTCGATAACATAAGAACATGATAATTAAAATTAATATCAAACAAATCAATGAAAGTATTATAATAAGAATTATTAAAATAATTTCATCAGAATATTGATCATCTTCAATTATTGATATTGATGATTTTATAGTGTGTTGAGTAGAAACTGTTAATGGCATCCAAAGACGTAATTCATCTGAAAGACTATAATTAATTCTTGTAGAATTTATAGTTGAATCAAAATCAATAACAATAAGTCGATAAGATATTTGACCAGTTGAATTATGTATAATACCTAAAAGAACAGCAGCATTTGATTTTGTTGTTGTGGATGAAGAAAATTGAAATAAGACAGAACGAGTTTGTGACGAAGGTATAATTGTTCCAGATTTTGAATCTAAAATTATTTTCAAAAAACAACAGGAAATGAAATATAAAATAAACAATGTGATAAATGAATATACAAGCTATGATTGTAGCTAAACTATCAGTAACAGTAATTGTATGATTACGATGTAGACTTGTTGCTTGTAATTCAATAACTGCATAACCATTGTGTTTACAATTTGAATAACATTCAGGTTGACGTTCTGATGTACATGTACATAATGTACAATTATCAATTTGACGATAAGATCCTTCCTAAGAAAAAACAAATAATTCAAGTTCATTTTTACATAGTTTATTTTACTTTAAGTATATAACCATTTAAATCACATTGTTTAGCTTGTCGACATGATACACAACAACTATCTGATCGCGATTCTTGAATTTCATGTTCAAGACAAAATTGATGTTCACATTGAATACTTTTACATATAACACGATTATGTCGTCGACATGTACAATATTGACATGCCGATGTATACCAAAGATCATGTTCATAATAGATTTGATAGCCATTAATACCATGAAATCTACATATATGTCGATTGCTACATATTGCACAACAACTATTCGGTAAACGAACAACTTTTTCATTCTAAATTAATGAAGAAAAGTAATTAAATTTAAAGAAAAAAGATATAAATTTCTCCACATACAGGTTTACATTGTAATATTGGACAAATTTCTTCTGAGCATATAATCGATCCATTTTCACATGTACAATGCGTACAAAGATTATTTTTCGTCCAAACATCGCCATTCTTAATAAAAAAAAAAAGAATTTACTAAACTATTCCTTTGTTCAACAAATCAATCGATTTTACTTGATAAATAGGACCGTTATTATCACGACAAATACTTGTTTGACATACTGGACAACATTGGCCAGGAATGAATTCAAGAGACTAAATAGGAATAATTAATAAGAAATATAATTAAATTATTCATACGCCAAGACAATTTGTTATTGTAGGACATTGTCTTATATAACAAACAGAAGATACATTTTGATTTAGTGATATCGCCATACATTGGCATATGGTACAAGGTAACGGTGACCAACTTGTATTGATTTCATATAGTTCATTATCAAATGAACATTTATCTATTAAAATTACAAAAACAAATATTTTTTACATAGAGTC